TTAATGATGCGGAAACACTTTTTGATAATTATCTGTGAGATGGAAAACGTATCCGCCTGGATTATAAGCAAATAAGTTCTCGCTTAACGTTAAGAAGACTAGCTATATGCCATTTAGCAGAAAGCAGCATCAGGTCCCACTGAAATTATTATTGATGATACCGGTATTACAAAAACTAACTCAACTAAATTCTCAGGACTATACATAGAGGACCGCTTAACCTGGAATAAACACACAATTATTCCCAGGAATTTAGGCATTATCTCAAAATGAAAAGCAATCCTTCTCCAGAAAATGTGAATGACTTTTTGTAATACTAAAATATTTAGAATTTAGAATAGAACTAGAATACTAAAATCTTACCGTACATTTCACATGGCATTCCTGCTTGGGGCAACAGTAGCATTAGTCATCTTAATCGAGTCCTTAAATTAAAGGGAAAAAAAGCCATGCAGATTCTTTACAATGTTAAATTTCAGGAACACACTGATCCTCTCGTCTACAATTGTTGCACATTGAAACTTGAAGATATTAACTATCTGCAGCTAAGGTCCTTCATGTTTCAACTCAAAAACAAATTAATTAAATCTATTTGTTCATTATTCATGAAAAATGAAGAAATCCATTATCACTTCACAAGGCAAAGCCATGAACTTCATCGATCAAATGCGCGAACTACAATATCGAGAGCAACTGTGAAACATGACGGGGCATATAGCTATGGAGTTCAGCGGACATATCCTTGAATAATATTGTCAGTCTTTCTGTCTTCAAGCGTAAATACAAAAATAAATGGTTGAATAATTATCTCGTAACTAAGTAAGTTTTGGTTTTTTTTCCACGGGGTTACAGCTCAATATCAGCGATTATACATGCCTGTGTACAGTACTTCCTACTCAATTTTCGTCACATGGATAACTGTGTTTTGGTACACTTGTGAGATGTATTTCGTGTATGTATAAATATAACTGGGGCCTTCACTCGACAGACTATGCTTTTTAAGAGCCTCCAGCCATACACCATAGCACTGTTTTTTTTACTATGAGCAGTTTCATATGGAAAATAAAGTTAAAGTGAAGAAAAGTCTCACATGCAGACTTCGCACCACCTGTTGCCAACAATGAGAGCAACATAAACCATTGAAAATAATTCTTGTTGAGATTTTACTGAAGATATACCCCACATACACATTTGCAATGGACGTTAGTAATGACACACATGATCAAGCCAAAAGTAGAAGAGTTTTTTTCTTTCAAGTGATGTAGAGCTATTTTTATGCGATATCGTCATTACAAGCCAGTATCGATATCCTTGAAATATCATAAAATGATTTTTATCAACGCCATTAAATCCTTCTAAATTCTACGCTATTTGAAGGTGAACCGGACTTTTGCTTACGCAATAAATCACTGTGACTGAATAGAATCACAGCGAACCAGAATTTTAAGTTCGTGAATCTGGCTTGAAAAACCGTTCTCAGCTATTGATCGTCAGGATGACCTTTAGTTCAACGCTGGCGTCATAATTATGCATTCATCATTGAATAACGGAAGATTTCCATCACGCGTCTCGTTTCCATCACAAAAGTTCACTGGCGTTCCAGTGTACGACCCTGAACAAGAAGCAAAACCATGTTGTGGAACGGAACATGAATGACTCAAGTTAAAAGTGTAATTTGTGCGAAAACATACGTGTCGAAACCAACAACACCCATGTTGCCATTCTCTGAAAAGATTGAACGCCATCTTGAACTGACGTACACTGAGCGTTCCTTCGATTGAACAATTTGTCGGACACGTAGTACTGGCATGCTTGAAATTCACCCTCTAAGTCAAGAAGAGGAAGTACATTTTACGGTGAAATTGTGGGGGCGAGTTATTTATCATACACGTATGTTCATCCAGGTAGCACTTCCTGAGTATCAATTTAGTTAATACAATGGATTGTAT